TTACAGTCTCATATGATCCAGCTAAAAAGAGCCATTCCTTCCACTTTGAGACAGAAGCTCAAACTTTCCCATCCAGCTTCAGTGTTTGGAAACAGCCTAAAAACAGGTGTTTTCATCATAACTGGCTATTTTTTTCTGAAACCACTAGGCCATCCTCTATTTCACGAGGCAGTAACTGCCACATGGTTTTCACTGCCCACTGCTCTTCCTTTCTTCAACAGTGATGTGCAATCCGATGGTGAAGTGGACAGTGGCCTGTCTCCTGGCACAGCCTGGCATTCCAGCCCTTGGTCCTGGAGCCAGAAAACTGGAGAAAGAGCGTGCAGTGGATCTGACAGCTGCACTGCAGGCTGAGCTGATAACCTATGGCTTGTCTGGGAAGTGGAATAAATGCGTAGCAGATATTGCTGTGGAAGACCTGTTGCAATTATTCTATCCTGTAAAACACTGTATCTAAGAATGAATATGAATGTTTTGCTAGTTTTTTTTTCACTTAACTGTTAAATGTTTTGTGCATGATTAAAGACAGCCTGTAGGTCCCAAATGCAGTTCTCATGTCACAGCCTTGTTACCATACTAGGCTCTAAGCTTTGATTTTATCACATCTGTATACACTACCAAGAGCAACAAAGGCCTGGGCTGTCTGCACACAATGATGTAACTACTCTAACTGGACACATTTATACTGTTATAAAGATGACTTCTGCTCTTCCAGCTTATTTATCTATCTTGCTTGTGCTCTCCCATCACAGGGAATTTGTCCCATCACAGGTATTTTAGCTGTTGCACATCTTCTATCTTCTGCTGAGGTTTTCAAACATAGCTGGCAATGCAATAACTCTCTCACATATGTTAAGTGCTGGTGGAGAAAGCTGAAAAATGAGACAAATGACTAAAATAATGTCATAAAATTTAAAACTGAACAAATAATAACCTCATAGTATTTGTGCCAGTCTCGCGGGACTCATGATTGTACCGACAGCAGACTGACTGCAGCACCGTGGAGCTGGTGCATGGCCATTCTCAGTAAAAGTCCACGTGTTTGGAATTAATTTTTTGCTTGTCTGAGTGAAGGTAGGGGCACTGAGATAATAATTCTTTATTTTTGTTTTGAGGAGGTGGAAAGGTTTTAGGGAGAGCGCTCTCTTTCAAGTATTGGGTGAGAGTGGACACCTGTAAGGTTTGTGAAGACTGATTTGCCAAAGACTGGAGGTACGAGGCCCTTTCCCACTGGCCAGGAAAATGCTCAGCCCTGGAGTGAAGGCTTTTTATAAATAATGCTTACTTTTACTTAATCATATTACTTAGAGGTACCTTCTACAACTATATACATGAGATTAAGGCAGCTGGCTCAGTACTGGCTGCTGATTGAGATGAGACATGAAAGTTGCTGATCTTAGCGTGCCACTGGGTATCCCCTGCCATTGGGTATCCCCTGCCTCTGCGTCCCCGTCCGCTCTGCCAGCTGCATCTCTGATGGATTCTGTGACATTGTGGCAACCAATAGGACATCTTATAATTTTTATTACTAGTTATTGTGATCAACACACCATATCTTTTAATCAAAATAAAATGGAGTCACTGGAACAAATCCATTTACACTTTGGTTAGTTAAGGACAGTCCATCCAAATGTAGCTAGAAGGGACTGCAGCCTATTTAACTAGAAGAAAGATTTTAAATTTGAAACTGTCATATATGGCCATTTTCACACAATCCTTCATTTGATGCTGTTTTCATCAGCAGAGCATGTGGACAGAAAAGCATTCTCAGGACAGGATATTCTCTGCTTGTATGACCCATGCGCTGGCTATTGAGCAATTTCTTGCAGATCTGTAAATGCAGATCCTGGGGACACATGAAGGCAGTTTCAGGATACAGCCTCACACCCCAGCTTGGTAACCACCGACCCCACCAGGCCGGGGTGGTGGTAGGTACACATGCACAAGGGGTGAAGCCTGGAAATCTGTACCACGACTAAAATGTGCATGTTTGATGTGGATTTAAAATGTGCATGCTTGAGTAAAATGTACATAGCTATAATTAAAGCTATTCAAACCCCAGTTTTCAGGAGAGCTGGAGTCCTCAGGTGAGAGGTGTCATTTGGATAGCAGGGTGAGAGAAACCTTCAGATTTACTCTACATAGAGATTTATTTAATTTTGTTTTTTGTTTCTTTTTAAAGAATTCTTATACACAATCAGACTTATTTCAGATGCATTTTTTAAACAAATACTTTGCTTGCATTTGTCTTAAACTGGCTTGCCTTAAGGATGATTTAGACTAAATGAGGTGATATGGCGCTCTGTAACACTGGGTTACTGGACCATTTCTCCAGCTCAGCTCTCTCCTAGTGTACTCCTCCTCCAGAGTAGTCTAGAACAGAGAAATAGAATAGTGTCGAATACAGAAATGTGTGGGTTGGAGTGAAGGCTGTGTGAATAAAGTGCCATTTGGTGCCTATCGGTAACCAAAAGCTTTCTGGCAATGAGCAAGGTAGGAGGTAACTTGCCTGAACCTAGAGCTCCCTGACTGCATTTGCACAAATCTGTATAGACACTGCTGACCTTCTGCCTGGCATAAACAGCTTTGGGATGTTTGGAAGCATTTTATTTCTACTTCCAGTGAAATCTCTGTGATCAAAAAAGGTCCAGAAGTGTCTCACTGAATTTGTTAAAAGCAACAGAGCTTTAAAATCTTTCAGAGAAAAGGCAAAATAGAGTAAGGAGAGGAACAAGCGCTCAGGAATGCAGTAAAAAGGAAAGACTGTCTTAATGGCAAATTAACATCCACTTCTAAGCTTTAGTTGCATTCTCATATTCTTATCCTATCAACACCAATTGAAAAGCAGATGGATGATTACTAAGGGCACTACCATTTTCCAGCAGAAATAGCTCTTCCATTTATTCAATATTATGGAAATATTCCACGGAGTTTGCAAAATTTTACAGTTTATTGCTACCAAGGTCACAGTAACATGGGTTTTCTTTTGCAACTCACCAAGAAAATCAGAAAGACAACATATATCGCACAGAGAGTATTGCAGAATTAACCCCCTATACAGCCTTCCATGGAGATACCACTCAGTGCTGCTCACGGTTGCTTTGTGGCAATGACACTTTAGATCAGTCTTCCGAAACATGCCTGTATACTGAAGTATCCAAAAGTCATATTGTTTGCAATGAAACAACATAGTACATACAAACTTGGCAGATTCCTGACCTCTGCAGTTTTTGACTGTCTCCCAAACTTAGGACTGAGAATGTCAGACTGACCCTACATTTGGCAAGGACAATAGAAGTCCTGGTTTTATCAAACTCTCTTTCCAGTCAATTCTTGTTTTCCTAAAAAAAAATCTCTGATTTTGTGATATTAATGTAATATTTGCGTTAGAGAATTTAACTGTTTCTAATTCAATTTAATATGTTGGATCTGGGGATTTGGAGAGCAAGTAAGACTCAAATGTCATAATAGGAAAAATAAATTGGTAGGCTTGTATATGGCAATACTCATCTGCAGGAATCGTGGAAATTAGACAAGAAAAAAAATAATGAGTTTTGAGAAGATAATAAAGTTCTCTCATCAGTTGTTTGTTCTGTTTTGTTCTTATTGCAAATGCTAAAATTAACTTGTTGGCTGCAATTTAAAATACAAAAAATACCAGTGGCTTGATGCCATTGTGAACCTGGCAGTACATGGGATGAGATGAAATCCTTAAAAGTTTGCAATGGAGGGCTTAACTAATACTCCTGAAATCCACATTCTTCTTTTCTCTCATTTTCTGACTTCATTTCTGAGTCAGACACACAGAGGGTGGAGTGTAATAATTCTACTCAGGCCATTTGACCAGGCAAAAAGCCCAATAAAAATGATTTTTCCATATACTAACATTAATAAGTAGTGGAATCACAAAGTCCCTTTGCAAGACTTCAATTAGTATTTTGAACTCCACATTATATAAATTCACCTCAATCTGCTGCTACTACTTGTTTCTCAAGGCCCTTGCAGAACGCCTATTTCTTGTAAGTTATATCTGTTTTGTTTTTTAGACCACTCAGTCTTTCTGACTGTTTTTAGAGTACTTAGTCTTTTCATTTTCTTTCACATTTTCTTTATGTACGTTCTATAATTTCACGGTAGCTGCTGCAAAGTGATATATACAGTTTCTCTGTGGAGATCACTTCAAACTAGATGATCACACATCAGCACTTTTTGCTGTAATCCCAACCAGACTGCATGTGATTGGGTTGATACTGAGGCAGATTTACCTCACCGAAGTTCTTGAGGGTTTGCTCCTCTCTACACCTACATGGTAAAACCTCCATGTCAGCTTCCACTGACAGGCATTGCTCTCTCACTCACAAGTCAGCTGCATCCAGCTGGAATCTTTCACAGCAAAATAACTCTGATGATAGCCAAATTCACTGAATCGGTCAAAAAAGGAGATGTCTTATATCTGTTTTCTTTGCCTGCCTTTTACTACCTCTGTTACTCTACACCTTGTCAAAATAGCTTTTTCTCCCCAAATTCCTACCCCTCTTTGTAGAAATCAGCATTACAGTGACTTTCCAAATATGCCAAGGGAGGACAGGGAGCAAACACGTGTTGCTCTAACGCACAAACTCCAGAGCAGGACGACTGCTCAGCGCTGCGCCTGCCCTCCCCACATTCGGCCTTCCACAGCAGCCAGCTCTAGTCAACCTGGTCAGCAGCCCCTCTGGCACACACTTATCTGCATGCGGAGTCACGCGTAACGGGAGTGCAACAAAGCTCATTTAGGCTTTACCAGGAGCCAAGCGAAACTCCCACCAAAACAAAAACAAGAAAACTCCTTGATGGCAACATTTAAGGATACACAATGGACATTTACATTTTGTGCTGTAAATAAAACATCCTATGAGTCCTCTGCAACATAAAAATGACCTTATGTATTGTACTAGATGCTATTGCACATTTTTTTTTTCAAATTTCATGGAAAAAAAAAGAAAACTAATGTTTCTTACTTTCGACGAAACATTTCTGCAAATATGCAGCCAACACTCCAAAGATCAACTGGTGTTGCATAGCTGGACTGAAGCAAAACTTCAGGAGCTCTATACCACAAAGTAACAACCTGCAAAACAAAAAGGAACATAAGAGAGAACATGCTTATCTACTGAATTACAACCTCCTCGGAGCCGTTGTGTGCAGCCCCAGATTATCTTAATCCACATTGTAAAATCTCGCAGACTGAGACAAGCTGCTCTGGTCAGTGAGTAGAAAAGGATCCTGGCTGGAAAAGATCAGTGTGGACGAGGGCAGTGAGGGTAAGTCAGGGCATCAGGTCACTTCTTCTGAAGAAGAAGTTTGCAGTTCACAGTAACACAGTATTGGACAACGTGTGGAGCGAGGTGCCACGCGGGTGTCTGCCGCACTACGCCAGGACAGTAGGCAGCACCTCTTTTGCAACAGCGGAAAAGATCCACAGCTTGGGGATCCCAAACATTCCTGATGGAGGTTCGGATCCTGCAGCGCAGATGTCAGGCTATTGAACAGGGTCTGTTTTCTCTAAACACCCTCTCTGGACCCCTTCAATATAGTCACCAGGCCTCCAAACTGGAAACCAGTAAGGCTGGTCCTACAGGCATGTTGGCCTATAGGACACATCAGTGCCTGGAGCCATAGCCCATGTCTGTCCTGAGCCCTTTAGTTAGGCTTTTTTTGTGTACGAGAACGCAGTGGTGTTAACTGAAGTGCCTCAGCCAGCCTCAGTGAATGTGTCCTACCTGTCTCAAACGCTCTCTGCTTATGTGGGAGACATTTTAGCTTATTTTTTGTCACTGGATACAAAGCAAGTCCAAGGTGCTGCCCTGAGGAGCACACAGTGCTCTCCAGCGTAGCTTTGTGGGCAGCGAGGCTCTAGGTTAGTCTTCCTCTGAAATCACTCTTGGAGATACCTTGACCTTCTGGCACTTTCAAGGAAGCAGCAGAACACAGGCTGCCAGACAGATCCCTGACCTTTGTAATAAGTGGCCATCTCTGCCCACATGCTGGTGGTTAGACCAGCCCCAGCTTCATTCTCCAGTTATTTCCAAATGATACCCTCCTTCCTTGGGGAATGTACCACATAGAGCAGCTGCTGTTTGGCTGTCCCCGTCCTCCTGGCCATGTCACAACCTGCAGCGGGGACCCAGTGTGCATTTTACTGGCACTGGTCCATAGATGTACTTTAATGAGCACGTCCTGTGCGTGGGACCCACAGCAGAGATGGGACAGTTTATATTTATCCTTTTGCTTCCCACAAGTAGACCAAATACAGATGTGGCTGACTGTATCTTCGGCATATTTGCACAAGAACACTAGGAGCTTCCTTGGATTCCTACGTGAGCTGTTACGTTCAGGAATATCATCTCAGAGCATCCTGCTCCTGAACACAAGTGTAACCCAGCTAACAACACAGGATCGGTGGTGAAAGGGCACAGCTCAAACCCCTGACATCGCTCTGGGGGTAGGGAGGATATCGACATTGTCTGTGTTGTTTCTTGGATAAGCATGAAGGTAAGAATTGGGGAAGGCAGCACTCAGGAGGAGCATGAAATGAAGTGAAAGGATATAGGTGAGAATAAATATAAGTTTTTAAAAAATATGTTAACTATGACAGTGAGTTCTGAGCTTCAAGACCAGTCCAGAGACAAGGCTAAGGAGAGTGGCTGTTTTAATGCTAACAATGTAATGGTCTTCTAAGCAAAAATAACAATAGAAGTAATCAGCCAAATTGACTGGTCAAAGTCAGCCCAAACAAAAGCAAATACAACATTTATTACAATCATTACATGCCCTGACAGCCTCTGGAACTACTGAATGGAGACTGAAGGGAGGTTCACGGATATTTGCACAAGTGGTCATATTTGCTAACAGTCCTCTCAAACACTTTGATCTCTGTTCATAAAATTTGTCTTTGAAACAGTTCAATAACACAGTGCAAAGTACTGCTGAGCGGAGCCAACCCAGACTTGCAGATAGCTGCCCACATAAGCAGACTCCCCTATGGAAGCTGGACATTATATAAAGCATGGCAGTTTTCCCTACGTGGGACCATACTAGGAACACTATACTAGAGACATCTCTGTCTCTGTGAAAGACAGTTTCTTCTCTGATCCACTCCAGAGAAAGAAGAGAAATGTAACCTGAGGTCAGGGGGATTTTACTAGAGCTGCCCAAAGAGAAGTCTGAACCAGAGAGGATTCCTCCTCCCAAAAGACACACTTTTTTTTTTTTTTTTTTTTTTTATGATGCAGGTGTATTTTTCAAAGTCTGATCTGCATTTTTGTTCCCTCAGGACCTATGCAACAACAAACTGAAGAAACACTGCTTTGCGAAACCAGCTACAACAATTCCAGGCCAGATATGAGTCGCTGGGGACAGAGTGCAGCACCAGGAACAAGAGCTGCCAGCAGCAGAAACACAACCCCATCTGTGCAGCCACCCTGCTTCACACCTCTGATCCCGTATGCCACAGATCTCCTTTCTCCAGGGAGATGGGCTGGGTGCGAGCTGCTCCTGCAGCTGCGGGACCCGGCTGGCACGGGGAGCGCTGCTGCTCTCCCCGGGCTGCGGAAACGCGCAGGATGCCACGGCCGCCGCCACGTGACCATCACCGGAGCAGTTCCCCCAGCGCTCGTGCCCTGCTCGGCTCCATGCACGCGCGCACCGGGGACTGGGAGATTTCAGTGCTGAGTGATTTGGAAACCTAAACCTGAGCAAGAGCCATTCCCAAAGGCTGACAGTCAATTCCAGCAAATGCCTGACTGCTTTAGAGTCAGAGAGGAAGTAACTTGGGTTGAGCTGTTTTGATAAACTTTGTCATTGCTGTGTAATTATAAAAGTGACCAAGTACACCCTTATGGTTCGTAATGTGCAAGAATGTGTTTCAGGATGTGAATCTGACACTGATCAAAATGTCCTAAATGTCAGTTTACATACAAGCAATACCACAGATGACTCCTCCAGAGCCAGGGGTCTTCTCATGAAAAGCATAGGATGATGCAGATGATGCCGTGGTTTTGACTGAGCTTCGCACTCACTTCTTTTACCATAGAAACCGAGAAAATATTTGTGGACGTTCCATTAACATTTGCAGATAAGTAGAAATGAAAATTATTCTGAACACAGGATATGGTGAGGCTGAACAACTAGATCATCGCTTCCTCTTTAGCGCTGCCCTGACTTAGAATGAAAAAGTGCCGTGTGTAGGTAAAGCCATGTCGCCAGCGCCAGGGCTCGCACACCGAGGAGACGGCCCATCGACGTGGCGTCTGGACAACCAGCTCCCATTTTTATAATCCAGAGAGCAAGCATCTGCACTGTTATGTCTTGCTCAAATCCTGCTCACCCTGAAAATCCAACATGCACCTCATGCATGTGATGGCTATTCAGTAGGAGAAGAGGTTTACGCTTATGTGTCGAGAGAGACCCTAAAACCAATGCAAATCTCCAACATAGGTCATGGGCCTCAGCAACCATGTTGTACTTTAGTCCTCCCACGCAATAAACATCCTTTCTCTGCCCTTCTCCTCAGCCTGGCCTGTCTGCTAGCTCGGTGTGTCCCGCTTGCCCTGTCCTCCCTTGCCTTCCCCAGCCACCCCTTGTATTCCGGGGCCTCAGGTACTGCGTCTTCTCCTTCCTCCTCCATCCAGATGTTTCTGGGCCAAACTGGTGCCATCAAGCCCTTTATGTGGCTCCCAGCTTTACAAGACACTCTGCCAGGCCACGGGGGAATACCATGTGACATTTTGTATTTCATGGATTTATCTAAATACAAAAAGATTGAGACTAATTTGCATGCTGTGACTTAAAGGAGAAAATATACTCCTTTTCCAGCATACATTTTATGTCCCCACTGCGCAGATAAGATAGGATGATATCAGATGAGGATGATATCAGTAGCTGCAGCTTGCTGTCTCTCACTGTTCAAATGTCAAGAGATCTGTGCAGTACTTCAGGATGAAAATAAATGAAATACGTAACAGAGAGTCATTACAGAAGAAATGAATATCTGCAAAATTCTGCCAAAGCAGGGCCTGACCCTTGAAAGAACAACATGGAAAAGTGCCTGGGGAGAAATATGGACAGATGCAACTAGGGTCTGAAGAAAAAAACACAGAAGTTTATTTTAGAATCAAGCTGCCTGCCTTATTATACCTGACAGATCTGTGAGACCATGCAGCCCCAGGAGCTTCAACCCTGCCACTTCACACGACCTATTTCTGATACGCAACCAAACTAGGGGTAAAGAGCTGCTCACTGCATCAGGGTGTTGCGTCAGTCGCGTTGAGGCTCTGTTTACCTCACATTTTCACTCCTGCATGACTGCTCCACTTCAACGGAGCCCAGCTATGCGGGCGAAGCGGGGATGTGACGGTGGCACAGCGGCCATGCCTGTGTGAGGAAATTCCACAGAAGTGTTTGCTGTGCCTCCCTCCGCTGCTCGCTCGGAGGGCAGCGCTGGGGGGACGGGGACAGGTCGTAGTGGCAGAGCCACGCGTCACTGCCCCTCCTGCCCGAGCCTCACGGGCAGCTTGATTCCCCTTTGCCTTCCCAGGAGAAAATCTGGAATACCAGCTGCACCTGGGCTTAAAAGTTGTGGCTTCGGAGGTCACTAAAATTTGCAGGTAGAAACCAATGACAAAAATTGCACAACATGAAGAGAGAGAAGAGCATTCCTTTTGCGTTTGTATCCTGTACCTGCAACTTTTGTTTCGTGCAAGAGTAGGCAGAAACGAAGCAGAAAAGACCAGAATGAGCCTTTTCTTGTCAGGTTACATTACATAATCATGTTTCCACCTCTGCAGCCTGGACGAGTAATGGAGCACGGCAGAAGCGCAATGTGAAGAGCACAGAGGACGGCAGGGATGCATGAGGTGGTGGTATTTCTGCAGGGTGAAGGCACCCGAGTCCCGCGCTCAGCTCAGCAGCGGGGCAGCCACACACCCAGCTGGGCACAGTGACGCTCCCCGGCCACTCTGCTCCGGCACGGGGCATCCCCACTTAGCCTTTGTATAATGACTTCAAAGCATTTTTTGTTCTTGGTTTGGGTGAGGAGTGTGCTGGCTTTATTTGCTCGGGACTGCCCTA